TCCGTCTCTCCCATCGAGGCGCAGGAGGAATTGATCTTAGGCTCTTATTTGGGATGTGAGAAAACACATGAAATGAAGCCCTTGTCCTCTGTACCTCCCACGCTCTGTTCTGCACCGCAGGTGGTAAGGGGTGGTGAGGTGGCAAAAGGTTTCCTCAAAGACCCTGGGGCCGAAGGGGCTGCACCAGGCGGGCATTGCCTCTGAGCCGAGCCCTTTCATGGTTTTCGCTCTTCCGGCACTTACTTTCATTTCCTAGAGAAAAGCCTTCCTGCCGCCTTGAGCAAAACTTGTATTTTCATGCCTAATAAGTGACACACAATGGGCTTGGGAAGGCTCTGCATACCTACTTTCCAGAACCTTCTGGTAGTCGGAGGCATGCCATGCTCAACCCCTCAGCTAGCCTGGCCTTCAAGGCCCTATGTAGTTTGGTCACAGAAGCCTTTCCAGTTTATCCTGCAGGAGAGGATGTGGTCATCTTTGCTTCCACCTCTGTCGCTCCCTGGTCCCTGAGTGTGCTTTGCTTTGTAAGACTGGCTTCTGTAGGTTGTTGAATGTTTCTCTGGCTCTTGATAGTTTACCTCCAATCATAATAATCTCTTTGCTTATCTGAGGATCCCCTTCTTTCTTCCTCCTTCTCTCCCTCCTTCCTTCCCAAGCATAGTTCCCTCTTTTTGATGGGGCCTCTTTCTTAGGGACCTTTTTGAAGTCAAGTTTAAGACATTTAGTGTACAGTGCAAGACTTAAGGGAGTCCCAGTGTGGTAGTCAGGTCACGTAAAGGAGACAAAAACACCAGAGGAAAGATACTTTTGAAATTTTCTATTTATTACAGCATTTTAAAAACTTTTTAAAATTTGTTTTAGTGGGAAATGGTTTTTGAAGAGTTATTACTTTATTGCAGCTTTTGAAAACTGCTTTTTCTTTTCCTTTTTTCCCCTGGTGGGAGGCAGAGAGAAAAGCCTGGTCATGTCTTATTGGCTGCTTTTTAGAGTGACGAGGGTTTCATGTTACCCTGTGCTTGGAGCACCTGTGTTCCTGCACACAAGCTTTTGGATGGAGCAGGGAAACAGAGATCTGGCGGTGGCTACTGTTTTGCAATTTAGACGGTGGTCCTGATTGTTTCTGGAAATCCTCGGGGCTGCTGATGTGCCAGCATGCCCTGGTGAACAATATTGTATTCAAACGTTGCTAGGGAAGAAAAGTGTTATAGGAATGTCACCTTCTCTGGTAGAACTTTCTGGAACCCATTGGATTGTCTCTGCTTCAGACAGCATTAATGGTCAGCACCACAAAAATTATATACAAGAAAGGCAAGATTGAGGATGCAGCTCAGTGGTGGCAGGTAGATGACCTCCTGGGAGTTTCTGATTTAACAGCACAGCCCCGCTTGAGGGCTGGGTGTGACTGACGGGACTTGTCTCTGCTCAGGGTCATCTGAGCTCCTGCCGTCAACCTCTAGACTTGGAAGTTTTGTCCTCTTTGAGATGCCATGTTGCATGCTTTCTAGACCCTTCCCGTATCCCAAATACCTCCTGTCAATGGAATTGGTGTTCCCTCTTTCCACAGGTCATTTTCTACCTCCTGCCTCTCTACTAATCTGTCGGTGTACCTGGTTTGCCCAGTTCTGTGAGCTTTACACCAGAGCAACTCAATTGGTTATTCATTTTTTTTGGCTAAATATGACTTTGGGTGATGTACCTGTACTTTTCATTTTCACTGCTGTATAACATTCCATGTTAGAAGTCCACAGTACAAACTTCAATGTGGTTCTGCCTTATTTTTAATGACTGCATGAATGGTGATGATGATGCCAATGATGATGCCAATGATGATGAGGACAGTGATGACAATGATGACGTTGATGACAATGGTTATAATTATGATGATGACGATGACGACAATGACGATGATGATGATGACGACAATGATGACAATGATGATGATGACGACAATGACGATGATGATGATGATGATGATAATGACGACAATGATAATTATGGTGATGCCAGTGATAATAATGTTGGATCAGAGGTTGATTTTAAAAGGAGGACCTAACCTGGCGAACAAGGACTTGACACATTTTGTGGAAACAGTACTGCAGTTAGGGCCAGGACTGTAGGTGTGTTTTCTGTTCTTCTCTTTCATTCATAGTATTTAAATTCAGAGCAGGACATAGGGAGCAAAATGCAGTTCGTGCAGTGGGGGGCTCATGAGACTACTTGTCAGAGCAGGTGTTAAAGTTTCGAGGGTGCAGGGCTTAGGGACTTGGCTTTGGCCTTCAGAGAGCCCTTCCTATAGACAAGTGAAGCAGAGTCGCTAGATGGAAGGAAGTGTCGGTGCGCTGTCTACCTGCAGCTTCAGGCTGTTCTGTCTGTAGCAGATCTGAAGAACCTATCAGCTCTCAGCCTCTACCGCCCCAAAGAAAAGCTGTGTTCTTTCTGCCAGTGCTCATCAAACAGTACCGGGAAACCCCTAGCCCTGTGTGGAACTCCTTCAAAACCTCCTGATAATAGTGTGTGTTTGATACATACATTCAGAGTTTAAAAATGCTTATAAACCATGTACCTAGCATTTGAAATCATTTAAAAATATGCTACTCTGAGAGGATTTTCCATATGATCTTTATAAAAGAATTATTTTGTGTGTGTGTGTGTGTGTGTGTGTGTGTCTGTCTGTCTATCTGTGCACGTGTGCGAGGTCAGAGGTCAGTCCCAGGTACTGGTCCTCGCCTTTCACCTTGTTTTGACTCTGTCTCTTGTTTGCTGCTGTGTTGTGTACTCCAGGCTAGCTGACCCTTGAGCTGCTGGGCAGTCTCCTGCCTCTGCCTCTCACCTTGCAGCAGGAACTCTGGGAGTATAAACACTCACTACCCCACTTGGGTTCTGTGGGCTTGAACTCAGGTCCTCATGCTCGCATGGCGAGCTCTTTTACCCACGTAGTCATGGTTGCATTCTTATTTTCTGTCCATTTGTGAAATAGTTGTGTTTCCTGGACTGTAAACATCTCTCCAAATTCTTACCTCTCCGCAGACTGGAGTTATCTCCTAATGCAGATGGGGCATTAGTCCAGTGTTACTTTCTCTCCTGCACCCCCACTCCCACACGCTCTCCTAACAGTGGCCTCAGTGGCTCTTAAAGGAGACACCCAATCCCACTTTTACCTGTGCGATCCTGGCCACTAGATTTCAGTGGCAGTTTTGTCTGTGGTTTCAGGACTTGGGGCACTCCCACTGAGTTCTTGCCATTGGCGTTCATTTCCTGTTCAGGAGTGCTGAGACCTGTTGGGCCAGTTGAGCCATAGGTCCTGAACATTGTGTGGTCCTGCCCAGGGTGTATTGCCTCAGGGCTTCCCTGAAGAAAGGATACAGTGAGGTGCAGGGTAGGCTCTAAGGCCAGTTGTCATGCCAGCCATAGCAGCACTGCATGGCCTGCAGATTCTGTGTGGGGACTTTCTTGGGCCAGGGAGCTGGGAACTGAGCTTCAGTGAGAAATACCAATGGCTAAAATGCAGCCAGCCATTTCTCATAATAAAAGACCCCAGTGGGTTCACTTCTTTTGTGGGGCATGCTGTGATGGAGAAGGGTGAACTCAGGCCAGATATTGACAGTGCTCCCACTCACATATATTAACCCAAAGACAGGATGTGTGAGCATCCAGGTGAGGGGTGTGGCCCTGCCTGGCCACATGGGGTGGCTAGGGCTCTACCTGGCCTGTAGCTTAGCTGCAGGCTCTGCTAGCAAAGACGGATGACGAGCGGACCTATGAGTGAGCTGCTGTGTCAGCTCTGCCACCTCAGTTTCGGCCATGCCATTTGGGTCTGTTGGAAGGTCCTGCTGTTGCCTCTGCATTCTTATAGGGGACGGTGGTGTGGAGGGAGGGCCACACCAAGTCTACCCTGGTCCTGGGCGATGGACTTTTGGTGCCCAGTGGTTGCATGCACTTTCTAGATGCATAGAGAGACTAGAGACTTGCACTCTAAGGTAACATACCTGCATGTAGCCTCACATAGAATTCATGCATCTGTTGTCCGGGACCCCTTCAGGTCCCACATCGGGTTGGGCCTGGTCTGTCTCTATCCCTCCAGTGCTGACTGCCAAGGTCAGTCACACCTTTATCAATCCAGCAGTTGTGAAGCTCACCATGAAGATGCTTAGATGTTGAAATGGCACTCTTGTGTGTGAAGGGGTCACCCATCTTTCTGAGTGACCAGAAGTCTCGGGTGTGTGGTTTCCCGGGAGGATGATCTACTCTTCCCAAGCTATTGAAGCTGGATGGAGACTGCAGTACGGATGGAGTGGAACCTCCAAGTGTATGCTGTGTGCTGTGCACCCTGTGTCTGTGACAGCCTGAGTCCCACCAATGGCTGCCTTTCTTCCCTGTGCAGTGTCTCTGTTTAGTTAGTGGGCCAGGTAGGAGGGCAGGATACTTTTGTGGTGTGTGGGGTGGTCCTGACAGTTGCTCCTGATTGAACCAGAGGTTGGGAGTAATGTTCTAACTGATTGGGAGTCTTTGAGTCGGAGCCAACTTGGCCAGCCTGTGAACCCCTCCCTCTGTTTACTTTGTGCACCCAGGCTTGTTCACGTCTGGTCTGTGCACAATGGGCCTTCGGTGTGTCCTGAACCTGGTGGAGCCGGACATGGTTTCTGGACAACATCCTCCCATTATAGATGCCCTGAACCTGAGGTTCTCTTTGTAGCCAGGAGTTCTCTTGCAGGCCCTCCTTGGTCAAGCTGCTGGACTTGAATTTCCAGTCCACCTAAGGGAAGACTCTGTCTCTCTGCTGGAATGTGGATCCCAGAGAGGCCGTTGGTCTTTGGTCTCAGGTTTCAGAACTGCTTTGCTTCTGTTTCCTACTGGTTATAGTATCCCCATGGGCAGAAGTTTTTAATGATAATTGTAACTAAGTTTGGCTAAGTTAAGTAGTGTGGTGTAAGGAGACAAGCAGGCCCTTTGACATGCATGTATTATACCCGTGCAGTTCACATAGCCTGCCTCCCCCCATGTTTAGCATGGATTGCTTCACAACTTAATATGTCACCTGTGCACAGGGAACACGCCAGTCTTCTCTGTATTGCTTCAGTTTTAGTCTGTGCTACCGTAGTGACCATAGTCAGCTTGTTATCTAAGCCTGTCTTTTCTTACCCTGTGACTGCCCGCCCGTTGGAGGGTTAGATGGCAATCTGTTGGGTGGAAACATGACCCATGCACGTGTGCTGTGGGCACTCCCAGAACCACTCAGTGGGTATCGGCCTCAGAAGGCTCTTAACAGTACTGGTGTTGGTTAAAATGATTCTAACTCACCTCTTCATTATATTGAAATAGTGCAGACAGGGGCCGGGGCGATGGCTCATTGGGCAAGCATGAGGTCTGCGAACAGGAGGACCTGAGTTTGAACCCCTGGCCCCTGAGAAAAAGCTGGACGTAGCCACATGAGCCTTTGATCCCAGTGTTGTGGTGTGGAGACAGGTGGATCTTGAATCAACCTCGCAGAAATGGTGAGCTTCTGGTAAAGAGAGACCGTGTCTCTAGACTGTGTGCAGAGAGCAGTGGAGGAACATAATGGATGTCCTGCTCCAGACTTGTACACAGAGGCCCACGCATGCACTGTAGTACACACACACACACACACACACACACACACACACACAGACACACACATAGCACACATCTTCATTCATTCATGCAGTCTGGCTCCATCCATGCATCCGTTCTGCTCTTAGTGAGGTCCTTCTGGCAGTATGGGAAGTCTCAGCTGGAGTCCCTTAGCGCACAGCTGGACTCCAGGAGATGAAACTTGCCTCTGCCTTTAGGCACTACAAGAAGGGTACTACGGTGATGGGGTTTCTTCCACCCACTGCCCATTCAGGTAGGCTTTATCAGTTCTTGAAGCCAATTGCTTCCCGAGGCTGCTGGACATGTGTCTCTAGAGTTGTGTCATTACTAGTGGTAGGATTTTCCTTTTGTTTTTCCCTCTGGCACCAAGTCTGGAGATGGGTGCTCTAGTGTTCCCTTCCGACTCTGTCTTAGGGTTTCTATTGCTGCGACGAAACACCATGACCAAAAAGCAGATAGGGGACGGAAGCGGTTATTAGCTCTATACTTCATCATTGCTGTTTATCACTGAAGGAAGTCAGGATAGGAACTCAAACAGGGCACGTTTTCGGAGGCAGGAACTGGTGCAGAGGCCATGGAGGGATGTTGCTTATTCTCTTGCTTAGCCTGCTTTATTATAGAGCCCAGGACAACCAGCTCAGGGATGGCATCACCCACCATGGACTGGGCACTCCCCCCTTGATCATTAAATGAGAAAATACCTTACACCTGGATCTCGTGGCGCTCTCTACTGAGTCTCTTTCCTCTGGTGACTCTAGCTTGTGTCACGTTGGCACACGAAACCAGGCAGTCAGACACCATTCACATCTACCTGTGACACTCCAGTCTTGCCCTGTGGGATGTGCCCCATCACAGACAGAGCTGTACTTAGCTTGGGCTCTTTTGGTCTTGAAAGGCCCTGACTGCCTTTTAATATACACTGATTTATCAGCAAAATATCTGAGCTTCAGTTGGTGCTTAATGGATGATCAGCTGCCAAGGCAAGAAGTGGGGGAGGGTCCCGGCACAGCAGGGCAAGCAGGACCAAGAGGGCAGGGCTGACCATAGATGTCCGTCTCTGTGGCCAGCCTGTGTTCTTGGGTGCGTGAGGGAGGTCAGAGTGTCCCAGGCATCTCTGGTAGTGTGTGACTGGCCTTAGATGTGCATACGTGTATCCATGTTTGATTTTTTATGGGGAGAGGAAGATATCCGGAAAAGCTGGGACAGGGATAATGAGCAATTGTCAGGAAAAAGGCTAGTCTCTGGCAGTGCCTGCTCACAGGTCCTCAAGTCCCTCTGTCCTCCTCACTGCTCTGCTCAAGGTGCTTGACCAGGTGTCCCTCCTTTCTCAAGATGTCTGTTGACATCCAAATTGTTTCCCAACCTGCCATAGCTCTAGAGAACGTGCCTCGGCCCCTCTCAGCTTCCCCATCCTGGGTGTCTGAACATACCCGTAAAATGATAAGGGAAGCCGGTCACGTTATCCCAGTGTTTTTGATAACCCACCCTAGTACATTGAACAGAGGCCCATGAGACAGCAGGCTGAGGGAGGTCAGCTTTTCAAACCTGCACGGGCGAAGCCTGCTGTTGCCATATAGATGTATTAACGCAGAGGTGAGGAATCCTTGATTGGAGGAGCAGGCTTTAAATGTCTGTTTCTGAATGTTCCCCCTGACTTGCTCCCCACTCCCTGTCTTTGTGTCTGTGTATCTTGGTCATTCTGCATGGGGCTTGCTCAGAGTTCTGTCACAGTGTGGGGAATGGGACCCCACACCATCATAACTAGTGCTGGAGGCAGAGTGGTGAGCGAGGCAGTTTATCTTCTGAGATCAGGTGCCAGTCTATAAAAAAATGGCAGTCCAGTGAATAGGCAAGAAGTTGTTTTTCTTACATCCCTCATCCCAGGTCACTTCCTCCTCTTTGCCATTGGCTGGGTTTGGAGGGAGGTACATGCAGTCTTTCCTATTCATCAACTACATTTTATTATCTTACTTCCCCTTCAGTGCATATACTGAGTCAGGGAGCCTGCTGTCTGTGTAAAGAAAAATTTGGTTTGAATGAAGGGTAGCCAGAGACCCAGACAAGCAGGTAGTAGTTACGGGGCAAGCGGGCCCTGTGCCTCCTACTTATCTGAAGCCCCAGCACTTACGTCCTTTAGTGCTGGCAATATATCATCATGTTTTGTTTTTATCACAGTGGTGACCATGTGACTTGCATGCTATGTTGTAGGAGATCTGTTTTGCCCAGGAATTAAATACATCCCCATGATGTATATAATTACAGACACCCCATGTGAGTCACTCATGTTCTCATGTTGCAGAGTAGGGCCAGGTTCTCAAGGGCAGGCAGGCTTACAGTGGAGCTGACAGGCAGATGCTGGGGTCTCTGAGCATTGAGTGGTGGAGAGCGCAGGCGGATTCCACGTCTGTGTTTCTGTGAGGACGGGAGGAGTGCTGGGAAGCTCCGATGGCTCCAGAAACAGCCAAGGGCTGTCCTTTGGGTGCGAAGTGCACAGCCCACTAGTTCCGCTCTGTGGAATAGTACCCACAGGTGACATGCAGTCTTAGGCCTCCTGCTTCAGTGGTGTGAGACGTGATGCACCCCACCAAGGCCTGCTAGCTCACTCTCTCCTCTTTCCCTTAGGGTTTTTTGACTTTGGTCAAAACACTGGCTCTGTGTGCTTCAGCGACTTTCAGAAGCACTGGCTCTGTCATGACCCTGGCCCTGCTCTGGGACATGGATGCCCTGAATGAGACTCCTCTGTTAGGCTGAGGTGTGTGGTGGAGAGTTTGCACATGCACATGAAGGTGTGCCGAGATGGCTAGAGAATTACCAGTTTGCTACAGAAGAGTCCTAGAGGGAGGGGGCAGCAGAGTGCAGTCTGGGGTTCTTGTTCTTAGAACTGGGCTCTGCCCTTTAGTTACTATTGTCTGTGGCTCTGGTCTGCAGTACATTTGTCCCTTTGTAGACAAACTGCCCAAATGCCTGCCTTGGGACACCTGCCCTGCTCTGAGTTAGGTCTTGTCTGTCTGCAGGGAAGGAGGCAGTCTTGGGGCACTGGGAGCTCAGGCAGAGACTGAGACTCTGTGGCTTCCTTTTTGGGGTATAGTTCTTTGGAAATGGTGTAGACCTTGTGTGTAAGGAGCTTGTACTAGAGGAGGTTGGCTTAGGTAGTTGATAGTGCCAAGGTGGGAGGTGGTTGGGAGGAGCCTTGTACATAAAGTTCAACAAAACTGGTGTCCTAGCTGTCTCCCAGAGGGTAGAGTATAGGTCCCTGGAGCGTTTCTCTTTGTTAGGAGGAGGGCACTAATTGAGGTTCAGAGGAAATGGGGGTATTATCAGCCAGTGTGGCCCTCCCCATCCAGCCCCTGTTCTTAGATACAGACCTGACCTAGCTAGGTGTGTCACTGGGGAATTGCATTGCTGGGCTTATCTACAAACCTGTGGGTAGCTGCTGTTCACTGTGAGTGCCTTCTTTTTCTCTGTGTATATCTTTCTGTGCCTCTCTCTGTGTCTCTGACACTCTGTCTCTCCACCTCTCTGTCTCTGTCTCTCTCTCTCTTTCTCTCTCTCTCTCTCTTAATTAAAAGAAGTAAAGCCCCATGCCGTGCTTTGTGCCTTAGCACCTGGCGGGTAACACTCACCATTTTAATATTCCTGCCCATGAGACTATTCTGTGCCTGTTTTTACTGCACCCCATTCCTTTGTATATGGTTGCGGCACTTCCCTTTTTCATTTTTAAAGTTATTAACTGAGAACAGCAGTACGGAGCTGGGAATGACGGTCCATGCCTGTATTCCTAGCGTGTGGGAGGCTGAGACTGGATTACTGTGAGACTAGCCAGGCCTTCACAATGAGACCCATCTGCAGGTAACATCAGCCCCTGTCTTTGAGGATCGCTTGAGACGTGTGCTAGGGTCTTCTCTCATAGTAGTGGCCTGCGGCATGGGCGCTGATGCTGGACTAGCATGTTTGTGTCCCCTGTCCTGTTGCTTGACATTTTTGTTTCATTTATTTCTCAGATGTGTGTATATGTCATGGTACAGATGTGAGGTCAGAGAAAGTCAGTTCTTTCCTTCTTCCACGTAGGTCCTGGGGGTGGTGGCGAGCACTTTAATCTTCTGAGCCATTTTGCAAGCCTTGGTTGACATTTGGAAACCTTGGCCTCTCCATATGAGTCTCATCACTGGTGGCACCAGTTAGCAGTTTCTGTTCAGAGTCCCAGTAGGATCATTACCACCCTCCCAGGGTTTGGATTTTGTTGAACCCAGGGCAAGGATCCCTCAGGGAGAGGAGCCATGTAGGGTGGCGATGAGCTCAGATCAGCTCCCTGCTCGGAAACTGAGGTCACATTTCCTTCAGTTAGCCTTGGTCCGGTTCGTCAGCGCCTTTCTTAGGCTCCACTTTGGGCCCCACTTGGCCTGAATTCAGCTCTCCTGGGGCCCCTTTTTGGGTAGACAGAGGCTCTTCTTGGAGTTACCTGGATGCAACTTTCAAGGGGAACTGTTGTAGG